CTACACACAATTCGCTCATATCCGTATATCTCACCAGTAGTGATTTTCTACATCATCACATACGATCGCGTAGTAATCAGCAAAGCAAATAATGTAAGAAATCGATCAGGTTTCCAGGTTGTAAGAGGAATAACATTTCATTTGAAATAATTTTCATTATTATCTATTTAGATAATTCTCACATAAAAATTATTTTTTTAAATTATTTTTTGAAAAGCAATCACGTGTTGTGCTATTTTGACTCGATATTAAACTTAACTTCTGGCCTTACCTACGAGCGAACCCTGAATTATTCATACTTCTGAATTATGAATTTTTACTCATGATTTTCTAATATTTTTTTAAAATGTGTTGGTTCTCCAATTTGTAGATGAATTTTTTCTACATTTAAAATTATTTGCTTGAATATATTTTTATCTTGGAACAAAACCTGCTATTTTTTAATTATTATATTGTCACTTCCTTTTTAATTGGTTTGCCACCTATTTATTACTATAGGCAGTATTTGCTATTATGAACATTATAATGCGAAATAATAATTACCTAAAACGGATGCAATTATATGTCACTAACGGATATAGTATGTTGTAATTAACTAAATAAATTGTGAATATATGTTTGAAATTGCTCTCAATTAAGGACATGATTTTTTATTTCGTATTATAGCTGTTTAACGGTCTAATGCACCGCACATTTCTCTTGCTCATTTGTCCAGGATGTTTTATTTGAATCAGACTTGGAATTTTTTAGAATACTTTGTTTGCGAAGATTTTTTTTCTAAAAATATTTTTTTCTGCATGTTTTCTACGAAAGTTGAGGCTATCGGCTATGATTCAGAAGTTCCATGCTCGATAAATACTCTGGACAACTTGATGTCAAGCAGTATTGACATCAGTTTTTACTTAAAAATATAGGTAGCAATATAATTCCAAGTGAAAATAACCTTCCACGCATTTCTGCATCCAATTAATGTCATCAGCATTAGAATTTGTAATAATAAATTTATCAAATAGAGACATTTAAAAAGCCACGCAATCAACACCTTAATTGCCACGATAATATCAGAAAAAAATCACATGGGTCATGGTAACTTTATTAGATACTTTAGTTAAAAATGTATCTAGGAAACTCAAATTCATCAAATTTATTGAATGCCCTTTACTGGACAGTTGTAAATAAAAGAGATAATAAAGAAAAAAAGGAACTCAAGAAACTCAAAGAAATTTTTTTTGACAAAATTGCTAGAAAACGCTGTTTTTATGTCATACATATATGACTGTCATGGCCCTATATTAAAACTTTATTTTTCTTTCTACTTAATCACGTATGTCAAATTTATGTCTGACATTGGCTATGCAGAATTTTTTAGGGTCAGACTTATGACTGACATGGCGATTAACGTATTAAGTCAGTGATTTCCAACCTGTGGGGCGCGCCCCCCTGGGGAGGCGCCATACCGTTCCAGGGGGGGCGCGAAGCTGTTTCAAAAATATTATTTTTAAATGCTGAGTAAGTGTCAAAAACAAATCAGCAGAATTCTTAAAGTACTTCTAAGAGTTTTTGAACTCAAAAAAGAAATTGCAAGAAAGAGACGGAGAAATCTTGTTTTAGGACACAAAGTTCCTCGCAAAATTTGCGTATTTAGTTGATATTTTTCAAAGACTTAGCGATTTAATTAAATCAATGCAAGTATCTCAAATTCGTGCTTTTGTTCAGAAAGACAAGATTACGGCTTTAATGAAAAAATTAGAACTGTGTATAGCTAGTATCAAATAACTTTATAACTTTAACATGTTTCCCACTTTTAAAAGTACTTATGTTACTGATGAAATAGAAGTAAGTAAAGATCTTATTATTATATCAGTCATATGACTAGTCTACGAAACCAATTTTCGCATTACTTTATCTAATTACGTCCAAATACGAATGGATTAGAAATCTATTTGTCATTGAGAAACATGATGATTTTGGTCATTCAACAGCAGAGCAGAAAATGATAATTGATTTATCTAGTGATAGCACATTGACGCAGATGTTTCAGGACGAAAATATATTGTTAAGTTATGGTTACCAGTGAAGGACGATTTTCCTACTTTGGCAAATAATGCTTTAGAAATTTTATTACCATTTGTGAGATCTTACTTATGTGAAACAGAAAATTTTTATAATAAATAGTTATGTTTGTATGTATATTTTTTATAATACTGTGTATTATTTGGCATAATTTGTTATATTAAGTATATTTAAATTAAATTGTTAAAATAATAATGGGAGGGGGGGGCGCAATATTTTTATCATTCGAAAGGGGGGCGCAAGGAAGAAAAGGTTGGAAACCGCTGTATTAAGTCATACAATAGAATATATGGTGCGTTATATAATTATATACAATCTAATAAAATAAAATTATAAAATTAATTTATAAAATGTATATATGACTTATCTTATGTACTTGTATACAAATTAAAAAAATTAACATTATAAAAAAGTCATTGCAATAGCCCAAAAAATTAACGTTTTGTATAGGTATTTATAATTTCTTTCATTATTAAAATAATGAATTCTTCAATTTGAAATGCATATTTATTATTCTTAAATTAAACCGGGTATCTATAATTGCATTACCATTTTATTTTCCATTATAAATATGTATTCCACGTTGAATTGTAATTCATGTCAGGCTGTTTCAACAGAAAATTTCTATATTGCGGGAACGAATGGCACGTGCTCAATGCCAGTTCCAAATTGAATTATACACGAACATTTCTTGAGGAAACACCTTTGCTCGTGATTTTACTTTGAACTCGACGAAAATTTTTAATCAATATCGCTTTATTCAATGCACCTGTAAAAGTCGTACATCCGCGCCAGCGCTTCCGTCGACTAAAATCTACGATCCAATCATAACTTTTATCCAAGCAAGATTTCGATATGGATGTAATCTCAAAGGTAGTAATAAAATAGTAATAAAATAAAAATTTTTGAAGAAGAGATTTTATTTATTAGTAAGGCATCTTATTTATTGCGAAATTATTAAACTATTTTTTATATAAAAAATACAATACTTTTACATAAAAATGTTATGGGTCACCAGTTGTAGTTGTATGATTTTTACTACAGAGATTACTTGTAAATAATCAAAATTATATTCTTTTCACAAATGTTCATTCCAAAACTGATATTTTTAAATATATATTATTTATACATCATAAAATTATTTTAATTTTATAATATATGTAACAAATACGATGTTCTATAAAATTTTCAATAAAACTTTATTGCTGATCAATCGAACATTCATACAATGCATCTGGTTTCCCAGTTCATTTCAATATTAAGAAAAATTATTACTATTGTTATCTGTGGATTTTTTTTAAATTTGTACTTCTGTTTAGTCAAATAATAAGTCAGTATTTTTTTTTAAATTTGAAATTTGTTTTTAGTCAAAGCACAAGTTGCAAGTGATAAAAACTTCAAACAAATAGTTTTCCAGTACATATTTCTTCATCCTACTTGTGTAAAGTATTATTGAAAACTCTGTAATAGCGCATAAACCGTTGTCTTTAGAAAACTTTCATGTCATAAGTAATGCATATATTGCATTATTTATTATGTAAATACTATTAGAAGTATTATAAGAAAATGCTAATATACATTTTATCATAATTATTCCACACAAAGAGCATATAGAGCTGCGAAAGTTCATACGAACATCGTATGAACTTGCTATTCAAGACTACAAAGGTGCTTAAATTGCACTGTTCCTGGTGTAAAAAATATTCTTTAGAAAGATTTAGAATAAAATTAATTGTTTTTTATAAAGGAATTTAAAATGGCTTATTTCTCTATTCGCATGATGAATAAAATTTGTCTCAAGTTCAAAAGTTATTACAACATATTGCTGCGATTTTTTTTAGAAAGTTCCAGTACAGCTGAAGGTCACAATCGTATCGGGAAAAACTTTCGAACATATCTTAGTTCGTACCAAGCACCGATCTCTAGACAATTAATTTTCTTAATAAAACTTATTAATATGAGAGAATTGTGTGCATTAACAAATCAATGCACATAATTTTCTGCAGGTACTTTTATGTCTGTAGTTTGAAATCTTACTGAAGATTTCATTATAAATTCAAAATTTATTGCAAATAAAAGCTCATGATAGCCCTGTAAAATTTGAGAATTAAAGCCTTTAATTCAGTGGTTTCCAACCTTTTTTTGCACCGCGCCCCTGCTCTAATAAAAGCAATTGTTGCGCCCTAATTAATTTTTGCAACAATTTAATTTTATAAATATTTAACTGATATTATCAGACTACAAATTAATATGCAATATTATACAACAATATGCATAAAAACTAATATTTTTTTTGTTTATTTTTTAACGTTATTTAAAATTTTTTTTGGTTATTTTCAAAAATAGTATTCTGAAAACAGATGTACGCGAAAGACACCCCCCACCCGGCCCCTTAGTACAGCCTGGCGCCCCACAGGTTGGAAACCGCTGCCTTAACCTATAAAATTTGAGATTAATACATTCAATTAATATACTTCATCTCCAATATTCCATATATCATACCATCAAGTGATTAAATGGCTTTGTGTTCCATCATGAGATTCATTGTCCTCGCCAAGGTGGGAAAAATTACTTCATAATGATCGTTTTAATGGGTGAAGGTATCTCTAAAGGCGTTGAATGTAAGACGCTATTGTGTTAATAAGAACACATTCATATTTAACAATAGTGATAAAAGTTATAAGTGTGTTTACTACTAATATAACATGCTAAAAGCCTGCGGTAAATGTTATATAGTAAATTGATATGGGTCGATCAGAGGATGGTATCATCTATGTAATTAACTTTTGATCTTTAGTTTATAAGTTTTTTATAATAGTGTAGGTCATGTTCATGCTGCTAAATTGTATTGTTTGACTAAATAATTTGTTTTAATTTCTAAATTTTATTTTGTTATATTATATTATAAATTATTCCATAATTTTTAGGTTGGTCATGGTGCCAATGGTGTCGAGGAATTACGACGTAAACCTCGTCAAAGTGAACCTGCACCACCCAACCACGTGCTTTTGCTGACAATCTTCAATCCAGTATATCCAATCACAGTGGTAAGTGTTATTTATGTAACATACATTTAAAACTTGTTAGTTTTTTTTTTGTATATTATTTAAAAATCCATTATTATTAATGTAATTATTAAATTACATTAGCTGGACTGGAATTGTCTGGACATTAACAACTTGGAAACATTTTACAAAATTTATCTAATTACAATTTGACATGTTTCACGTTTGTGTTAAATGAATTTATTAGTTGAGTATTGTTTTCACATTTAGGGACCGATTCTCCGCATAACAGAAAAATGTTATGGCAAGGCCATGTTACGCTCCATCTTCCATACATTATGCTACTGTTATATCATACTGAATACTGTCATAATGTTATGTATTTGCTGTGCATTCAGGCAGTTTTACACATAAACTGTAACGTCACTCGTATGTTATGAAGCTGTGTCAGAAAGACCCTGTTATCTTAGCTAGTTTTTTTTTTAACATTTGTGCGGTTTCTAGGTTTGGTTTTCTATCTGACAGCCCCAGCAACCACATGGATTTTGTCAATATTTAGTTATGGCTTAGTACATTTAGTAGGCCGTTCTTCATAACATGGCCTTGCCATAACATTTTTCTGTTATGCGGCAGAATCGGTCTCTTAATAAATTTTTACCTTTCATTTAGTAAACTTCAACTAAAATTTATTTGTTTAGTTTAGTTACCGATAAATAAATTTAGCTTTTGCTCCATATAACTTTTCAAAATCTTGTGGTTCATCTTGCTGTTTGAAGTCTTTGCTAAAAACCTGTTAGTAATAAATCAGATGTTTATTTAAAGTACTGCAATTCGGCTTTGTAACAGGTTTATATATTCGTTCACTTCTTTGTTGTAGTTTCGTATTTCATTCCTTTTATACATTGCAGTTTAATTGCACTTTTATTGCCAAAACAATTATTCCTAAACTAACTATCTATCTAGTACTACTGTATTGAATAAAATATTATCCATCAATATTTTATCAGCCAATTTTCCAGAAGAGCGGCGAATTGGTTTTTTAGCTAGTACTTCCGGAAATTCTTACCGGTTTTCCATTTGATCCGCGCCCGCACCTATAACCCATTACTTAATATTGCTTTTTCCGATAACAGTACCGGAATAAAACACCGTCAAACTGAAGTATTAAATTCTTCTTCAGTTTTAATGACAAATATTTATATTTGAACCCGACGCGATGAATCATGCAAATATTTGCTTCCTCGACATTCATGTTTCATCCTGACGTAGATAGACGGAAAGTGTCGGGTTATAAAAAATAGCTCTCGTTTTCAGATAATTTATTTTGTCGAGTGAAAAATTCGCGTATATTAATAAATAAAAAAAATAAAATAAAATTTACCATGTTGTCGTGTGGTTTGAATTTAGTAAAATGCCTTGTGGTGACGAGACAGTTTTCTTGTATACAGTTATTTTCAAAACTTTTATTTTTACCAGTAAATGCTTATTTTGTCAATGTTCATATGTGGGATATGTAAATAGTTATGCTATATATCATTGCTCATGAAATCATATCCATAACATAAAATTTTATTTATTTTTGTGTTAAATTTGAAGTAGGGCGTATCAGGAAGAATAAATCTGATCCATATGTGATATATTAACGTTATTCGTTCAATATATATATATATATATATATATATATATATATATTATTTATATTTTTAATTTTTAATTTTTAAAAAGTGTTCATGATTAACCCTTACGGGATGGCACCGATTTCAAAACAATCTACTGTATAGGCTGTAAACTTGATTTCATTGTGTATGTTATGCAATTTTGTTCGATAAAAATTTGTGATCATTGAAGGACATACATTTATAATATTAATTTATTTTTAATCATTTTATAAAGAATGTGACGCTCAAAGCATATTTAAAAGCGCTCGGTCGTTTTTAATATTTAAAAAAAGACTATATAGCAACGACAATGGCTAAAAATACTACTAAAATAACTTAAAATTATTTTCAAAATGCAACACTATTTAGCTATATGTAATTTATTAAAAGTTTCAATGCAAACTGAGTCATTGTTTATATAATAGCCTGTGCCTCACAGAGTATGTTTGTCCACTCAGGTGGACAGCCGTCCCCAAAGAGTTAAGTTAGTCATAAAAAATAAATTTTCTACTATGAAATATTATATATCAAAGAAATCAAAAGCTAGTTGCAAACACCAATGGTAGCAAGTGTTAAATCTTATGCAATGTTTGATATAGTTACTCGACGATGCAGTTTATATGCACATATGCAGTTAAGAGTGAGAGCTAGAAATTGCGTAATTAATTTTCTTCGCTTCGCGTGCTTTGCTAATGTTAAAGGACACGTCATCATTACTTTCTCTTGCAAATTTAACAACCCATGAAGTTTAACATCGTTTTGATGTTTTATTTGCTGAATTATAGCTTTTTGCAACGTTCGGAACACTTATATTATCCTGATGCAAGACTGTTTCACAGAACGCTTGATTTTTAGAAAATTGGAGTCGAATAGTCAACAGAATGATTATTTTTTGTTCGAATTGGAAATTCATTGGTGTATACTTTTAATCTTTGTGTAAATTACTTGATGACCTTAGTCCTTAAAATGATGACTGAGTTCTTAAACCTGTTTTCCTACTGAACTGTAAAAGTAATTCATAAATTTACTTCATAAATAAGAAAATTAATCCAATCGATAGTAGTAAAAGGCTTGCAATAAATACATCTTACAAGATTAACCTCAGATTTACTCTTCTGGGATATTGAAGAAACTTTCCATAGTGATATTTTCAAACCGAACGTAAAATGTAGGAGCAAACATAAAGCTGACTGACCGAATTTTTTATTTTTTAAAGCTTTCATTAATTTTTATAATTAAACCCCTTTTCTTAGACCTTTCATATTTGTTCGGTTTAACTATCAACTCAATAACCGTTGTTCTAGATATTAAAAATATTAAAAACAATGGTTTATTTTATAAAATCGCTGAATTAGGTATTCAGCGCCTGAATAAAATTCCACTTAATATCCGAAACTTGTACAACAAAAAAAAATTGAATTTTTACAATACGATTTTATGAACTTTCTCTATTTGCCTTTTTTGCAACTTTAATTATTTTCTTTAATTATACCACTTCTCAGGGGCCTATAATATTTTAAAGTGCTTACTTTGACTATTCACTCTATCACCATGCAAAGTTTCACCAAAATCCCAGAAGAGTAAACCTGGGATTCTCCTTGTTAAAGTTGGTTAGGAAAATTAAATTGTAGATAATATAATTCGAAAGACTTAAAATAATTTAGTAATTCATCAGCAGATTTAGATATTATTAGTTTATATGTATCATAGTATGTTCTTGGAATTTTGATGTTCATCACAATAATATTAATTTCATTCACTCATAAAGTTAGGAATAATATTCAAACGCCTTGTACTAATAATCCTTAAAGTTATGAGCTTAACAAAACAAAGAAGCCTTTACAGTTCTAATTTTTGTTATTGTTATTCTATATTTATATTGTATTACTTTCGATATTTATTATTCATGTTATGCTTTATTGTTCTTCAATAAAGTTTTAATCAAATAATATTTTACGACTTGATATTTATAGCCAATTGCTTTTAATGGCGTGCCTAATGCATATCGAAACTTATACGACATAATTTAGAACATTTGGTTAATTAAAATTTATTTATATTTTTGATATTAGTTGGAGTATCTACTGATATTTTATATCAGGTTCCATCAAACAGTATATTTTGTAACATTACTTATTTTCTGTTTTTTTATTTTTATATGCAGTTTTGAGTTTTGAGGATTTACAAAACTATATACAACATAAATTTATAAATTATTTTTGCATAGTAATATTTTAATTTTAGATTGTTAAATAAACTTAATTTTTTTTCGATAATTAATATTTGTTTAGTTACGCAAAAATTCTATTCTAATTTTGGCTTACTAAAAGTAATTGTTGATTTGAAAGTTGTATTTCAATTTCAATACAATTTGTCACACCTATGCTGCTGAAGCAAATTAAATTCAGACGTACGAAATACTTAATGAACTTTTGTTATATTGGAGATACAAATTGAATTCTGTTTTTAAATATCAATTTCAAATTGCGAGAGTAAAATTAAAAAATGTGTTGTAGTAAATATTTACAAATTCCATATATGTTCTAAAATATTAAAATTATTGAATTTAACTTAACAGATTCGCCGCTAGGGTTTTATTTAACAGATTGCAGAATAAATTGAATAAAAAAAATCCTAAATCTGCCTATTATAAATATTGTTTTATACCAATGTCAAACTTATTGAAGTTTTTATCGATTTCAAAAGTTAGTTATTTAAATGTAATGGGTTCTTTAATTAGCACAATCGCATAGTTGCTATTTTATATAATAAATTTTTTAGAGGTAATTCAAATACATAGCTGAACATAATCAAATTAAAATTATTTTTCTGATTATTTTTCTAGTAGCGATAATGTAGTAATAATAACATTGCAAAATACAATTGCAGAAATATTACGTCTTGTAAACAAAATACATTCTTAGAATTTTAATTATGTCAACTACGTTGGCAACAAGCTATTTGTATTCTTTATCGAATAAATATTTGGTAATGTTTTTATATACGATAGTTACTTACGATAATTTTTATAGGTAATACACATTGGACTTATTCGAGTATTTTGTAGCAGAATTAAGAGATGCAAAATCTAACTAATAGTATTTTACTTTTTTAAGTAAGTTTAGATTATCAGTAAAAACTAATTTAATATTCAAAATGCATTGAAATTTATTCATAACGAAAATGACGAAAATTGAATGTAGAAATTATAACGAAAAATTAACAAAAATGCGAATTTTAAATCACACGCGTATTCGAATCATTTGAGCAGTAATTTGATTACAAATAATTAATAAGATATCCAATTCATGTCTCTCAAACACATATACAATATCTGCAACTGTATAAATTTATTACCTTGTTTAACAAATTTCATTTCATCTA